TGTGCTGCAGCATATTTTCTATTAAACCTGTTTGTAGTAATGCTTATTTTTGTCAAACTATTGCAACAGCAAGGAAGTCTTAACGCTTCTAGATTGTGAAATTGGTTATGACTCTACGACCCTATGATTCTCAGTGTCTGGTTATATCGCTACTGGTTGTTTTCTGTTTTCAGGGCAGAAGGTGGAATGAGGCGAGGCAATATGGGCCACCTTACCCGAATAGCCAATGCTGTAGTACAGAATATGGAGAAGGGCCCCATGCAAACTCAAATTAGTGAGTTTATTAAAGGTATATGCTCCTTTTCCAGTTCCCTTTTTTTTTTTTTTTCCTTGATTAACTAATTTTTGCAGGCCTTTTGGGAATACTTTTAGTGCCTTGTATTTCATGAGTCTCCCTTTTATAATGAAGATGATTCCTGGTTAAATATTGCAAATTCCCTTAACTTAAAAGACGTGTTTTGACCAAATTCTCTTGATCTTTGTTACAGACATACTTTGTTGAAGTTGTTGGAACTTTGTTTTTGCAAACAGGGACTGAATTTATCCTTTTTGTCTTAAAGAATACTTTTTTCTTCAGGAATTTTATGTACATCTATAGTGTTTATTTACAGCATTTTGGGATGGTGTTTATAAGTGGTGCTCATATAATTGCTTGTAGTCATACCTGTTTGAGAGGATGAGAGACGCAAGAGTAAATGATCTCAGAGGCCTTACATCTCTGCTGTGTTGGAGATATTCACACTGTCAGGCTTTGTCCATCATCACTTCACTGCGCTTTATTTCGAGAACTAGTTTTATCTCATATAATCTTTGTGCGAGAGGATTTTCTGTCGGCAGCTATTAATGGAAGACAGGGCCATAAATGTGACTCATTTTTCTTCTTGGTTTCTAATGAATAGATCAAATAGTACTGTAGTAACTTGGTATGTTGTCATATCTGCATGAAAACTGAGAAGGAATAAATATTTTTGTAAAGACTGAAAGTTTCACAAGCCATGGCTATTTCTCTCCATTATCACCATGGAAGAATAAGAGAAGAAAAATAGAGCTTAAGTCACCTGTATGCTGATTTTCAGAAAATTTTTTCAGAAAGTTCAGAAAGCAGTTTTGTATCTTTAGCCCACTGTAATTGCACAAGTGAGTCAACATGGTTAAGAACAGTATCTTACTGGGTGGCCTAATGAAAGATTTGCCTTTCTCTACAGAATTTGCCATTTTTAGAAAGTCATAGGTAAAATGTAATTCACTTTGCAGAGCACAGATATAATTCATGCTTTGCTTAGCTCATGTGCGGGTATATGTTCCTGCCCAAAGACTTCCAAGTAACCAACGCAGTCAGCTGAGATATTCAGGCAAACTCTGTGTGTTTTGTTAATTTTCTGTTGAATGTATCCTAGAAGGAATTCAGCCCTGTTTATTAATGATCAGATAGTCCCAAAACCAATGCCCTTGATGAAGATACTGTTCCTAACACAGGAGAGACAATGGGGCTAAATGCTTGTGTAGACTGGCATTGATCCTATCTCCTTGAACTGTATTATTCTTGATGGTGGCTTTTCTGTTACAGAGCTACCTGAAGACTGCAGAGGGAGATGGGAGAGCTTTGTAGAAGAGACACTGACAGAAACCAACAGGAGGAATACAGTGGATTTGGTGAGAATAGTGATATTTTGTGTTTTTCAGATTTTTCTGATCAGGCCTATTATTTTCTGAAGTTTCTTTAGTAGAAAATAGCGATATTTTCTTCTTTTTCTTCTTTTTCTTTGTCTTTTTCTTCTTTTGCTGTATTTTATGCAATAGGCTTACAAGGGCAGAGTGTTAGTAAAGAACACATTCCATAGTAGTTCTTGAAGCAGCAGCAGTTCTGATACATGTTGATATAACTCTAATCCATGTTACTGTTACCACTGGGACAGTTTCTGCCTTCTGCGGAGTTTGGTCTTTGATTGTGTGTGTGAAATGAAAGTATTTGAGCTTTCTTAGCTTTCCCTTATGCTTACCTTTTTGTACTTCCAGGTGAGCACTCATCATCTGCATTCTTCCAGTGAGGATGAAGACATTGAGAGTGCTTTTCCCAATGAACTTTCTCTCCAGCAGGTGAGCTAACGATATGTTCTTTACTGTTGCTGGGAAGCTTGCTTCTCTGATTTCACCCTTAATCCTTCCTAGTACACAACAGCTTCCTAAATTGTACTCTTAGTTGGTGTGCTCAGCTGATTTGCGTTTTTCCAGTATACCTACTTACATAGCAGACTCCAGTCCAGTCTCAGAAAAAATTTTGCTCAAACCGCATCCAACTGCCAGATACATGATGTCTCCCACGTTCCTGTGAGAGACTCCACATTTCTTTCTCCTGTCCTGATTTTCTGCATGGTGGTGGCTTGGGCAGTACAGACGTTGTAGACCAGCTGCAGTGCGTTGCTGTATTTCCCTGCCAATGAGATAGTATGCATCACCTGCCTGCAGCCGAATTGGAGCTGGTAGAGGGGCTCTGCATCCTCTTGAGCTATGCAGTCTTCTGTTAAAAAGCTAAAGAGCCATACTAAAGTGTTGTCAGTAAAGATATGTTCATTTACCAGGGGGGAGGCCTATCTGGAAGCCTCAACTTAAGAAGAAACAGAGCTAATCAAAGGTTCAGTTGACTGTAGCTAAGGTCTCAGGATTTTTCTTTCCCTCAGCTGACATGTAGAAGGCTCAAAGCTCATAAAAATAAGGGGAAAATGTATTGGCTCTGTGAGGAGTATCTGTTTTGCCCTTTATTGTGACAAGTGTCAACAGAAATATTGACAGGAGGCCGCAGAACTTTTCGGACAGGGACACAGGTGCGTAACCTCACCTGCAGTCGAGTCTTGACTTTCTCTACTTAGAGGCAGAAACAATCCTCTTCATAAATAGAGAATGGGACATGGATGGGTAGGCAAGAATGTGACCAAAATAATGCCTGTGCAAGAATACTGGGGTGCCAGCTGAAAAATAGTCAGAAGACCCAAGCTGCTGTGGGAGATCAAACATTGTGATGTGTGTGAATGCTGTCTCAAAGACACGGAGTAATTCTTCCATTCTGCATGGTGAGCGTCCAGTTGTAGACACTGAACTTCATAAGTGATTTGTATAAACAAAAGGTAAGCTAGAGGATAGCAATGAGAACGATTAGAGGGGTAGAACATGACATATGAAGAAAAGTTAAAGTAATCAGGGCCACTTGGTTGAGAGGAAAGAAAATTTTTTGAGACATATGCCTCCAAAGCATACCTACAGGGAAGAGGGATATAGAGGAAGTGAAAAATGCCTTCTTGATGTCCATGGTGGGCTTAAATTACAGTAAGGCAAATTTCATGTTACATCAGGGGAAAATGAGCAAATGAAAAAAACAAAATGAATAATGAGTAGAATAGAATGAATGAATAATGAATAGAATAATGAAGCAGAGGAATGATTTCCTAGGAAAATTGCACGACTGTCACTTGAAGAATTTAAGAGCGGATCAGAGAAGCCTCTCTCCAGGACTTGTAGAAGTCTGATTTGCCCTACCTTGAAAAAGATACTTGGACTAGATGATTTCTCAAAGTTTCTCAGTTTTCTGTGATTTTACTGCCTTCTCAGAACACCTATTTTCAGCTAGCTTAACGGGATATCTTTGGACACCTTTATGATAGCTCTTTTTATGTTCCATTATTCAGGCCTTCTCAGAGTACCAGATCCAGCAGATGACAGCTAACTTTGTGGATCAGTTTGGCTTTAATGATGAGGAGTTTGCAGACCAGGATGATAATATCAAGTAAGTTTACAGAGCTTTAAGAGGCTTATATTTGGCATTTAAGGCTATTTGCAACTAATCTTTCTTCTTCTGGTTCAGGGGGTAAATTAAAACTCACGGTATCTTCTTTGACTTGAAAAAAACAGAGGACTGATCAATGTCTTGGAAAGCAGCTGACCTTTCTTCACAGGGATTCTTTTTACAGAATTCCGTACCTGATCTCCCACGGCAGTTGTTGAACCAAGGAAGAGCGCGTCTTCATTTTGAAGAGAAACGTTTTAAATAAAAAATGCAAATCTATATTCTAAAATACTTTTAATTGCACAGAATGCAAATCATTAGAGCTAACTCTAGGCAGTTATATTGCTACTCTCCAGTGGGATTAAGTCCTTACTTAAATTAGGAGTAGCAAGATAGAGAATGGTGTTCTGATGGAGTCCACAGAAAAATTCAACCCCTTTCTCTCTTATGAATAAGGAAACGTAGATAACCCAAATAGTAGTTAAAAGAAGGAAGATACAGGTGGACTCGATGTTATGCAGCTTACTGAATTCAGCGTGCAAAAGTGGCATTACTTTTATAGAAGAACTGCTGTAATCTAATTAAAACCACAGTTCATCTTCTCACCTCAAAAATTGTGGCTAAGGAAATGTTTAGGACTCTGTAAATATCCTGCTTGTCCATAATAGTTCAGAAGTTGTAACTGTTCAGTATTACCTCTACTGACAGAAAAGTACTCCAGGATCCGTTGTTTCTGATTGCCATTTTACCTTGTTCTCTTTTCTCAAGGCAGTGTTTATCACAGTCAAAAGAAGTATTTGTCAACCAAGGGGACAGAGAGGGCTAGTGTGATGATACCTGCTGTACATTACATCCTGAGGGCTGACGCTCACAAGCCAGCAAATTTTGGAGTCCGCTGTGCAAATGCTACAGGATCCTCATGTCCTGGAATTCTGATTAAAATGGGAAGTTTTTAGCCCAGAAAGTTACATGCCAAATGGCTCTGACTCTTTGGTTGCTCCACATTTGATTTATTGAAGATCCTTTTGCTGGTTCTGCTCGGACCATAATTTTAGCAACTACTGGACTCTGTGAAGTATGTTAAATGAAATGACAATTTGGAAGTGGTTTGGCTGTTTCAGAGTTGCTTTCAAGCATGAACCAAGTAGCCTTGTCCTGAAAGCCTTCCATGTTTGATAGCTCTGAGAGTCTTAAGATCCTTGGAGTTGTAGGAACTCCAGTAAAACGTTTACTAAATTCGTTATTTGTGTTTGTTAAATCACATGTTCCAAATAATTGGAAGTTGTGTTTTAACGTGGAGGAAGATTTTGGAGTCCAGCTTTCCTGTTTTCTTTCCTGAACTTTGCAATTGTAAGGAACTTACATAAGGCCACTAAATTTCAGACTAGCATGAGAGTTTAACTGGATATGGATTAGTTAGTTCTACACATTTAAAAAAATAAAATAGAATTTTAGCTTCTTATGAGACAGCACCAGATATTGCACTCGTGTGTGCCTGTAGGTGGATGGGAAGAGTTACCTTACTTAAGAAGCTGGCTGAAGGTACCTAAAATGCATATTAAGAATGAAGATGAAACTGAGCGAAATCTGTAACTGGAATGTGCGATCCTTCTCTGTATTAATGACTTGAAAGAGAGACTATATTGCAAAACTGTTCTGGTGTAGGACGTTCTAAGACTGGTGCTGTGTCACTGTGAAAGATAAGAAGTATTAATTGTGCTTCATTGCCCTGATGATTTGAATAATAATATTTTTGGCTAGCTAAACAGTCTTCTTAAAAGGAAAATAATACTTTCCAAAGTTCGGAGTGTCTAGATACTGTGAAAAAATATTGCATTGACCCAAACTGTGCTAGTAAGTTGGAGTTTTTTGACCTGCAGCACCCCCTGCTGTTCTTAGACCAGAAAATCTTAAGTCCAAACGAGGAATTGTATTATTTAATGATTTTTGCAACTATCGTGGGTCAGTAATGTATCAGGGGATGTTGAGCCACTATGCACACTAAGATTTCCTAGGGATGTTGTGTTTATATAAACACAACAACACAATTTTTGTTGTATAAAAAAAACGGGCAGTTGCTGTTCATTCTGGAAACATGCTTGCTCTCTCTGGGTCTTGTCTCATTCTGAGGAACTTAATGGCATTCTTAGCTGAACAGAGGACTGGAATTTCAGATGGAGCGCCTTCTATTTGCTGTTTTTAATTAATTATGAATTTTCCGTTTTTATGTAAGCTTTCATTCAGCTGGAGAGACTCACTGAAAAATTTGGAGATAGCCTATATATTGCATGAGTACCGTAAGAGTTGCAAAATAACAACCAATCATTGGCTGTGATTGCCTTGAAGGCTCAAAATACCTTATCAACAAAATAATGCTAAAGATCTTGCACTAAGGTATTGAATGTAGGAATGAAAATCTCACATATTTTTCAAATATTCACAAATATGAAATAATCAGTCTTTCATCCTAATGAGTGGAAACCATTGCACTTAAGAGAGCACCAAATATTCAGGGAACAAATACAGAAGGTGTTGAGTGGTCATATAGAGTGTCTGTGTGGTCAGCTGTACTCTGGTCTTGCACTGAGGCTGCAAAAGTGCTATTTGCTACTCCATGCCATCACTGAAGTTTCTTTCCCTTCTTTTTGCAGTGCTCCTTTTGACAGGATTGCAGAGATAAACTTCAATATAGATGCAGACGATGACAGTGTAAGTGGGTATTTTGGGATATTTATTTAATAGGATGGATTCTAGCAGGTTAGTTCATACTTGTAATCAGCTGTAGTCATTTTGAAATAAAGTGATTTGGTATATTATTTCAGCAAATGAAGAGAGGCCCTAGTGCCTGAGTCTGGTTAAGGAATTCAAGGCGTTAAATGTACATATCCCTACATTTTAATTGCTTTGGCCACAGTCTTCAGAAGTAGTACTCTTTACATTGGAGGATTCTTATTCTGTCTCTCTGCAGTGTGAATCAATTGCTATTATTTTCATTTCATTTACTCTTGTCATGCACAGACGAGGAAAAAAAATACAAATAGCAAAGTATTGGGTTTCCTATGGGTTTGTATGTTGTCATGTGGTATCTTGTCCTTTCTGTTTTACTGACCTAAGTCACTATTCTTATTGAAGAAGATGGATAGTGGCTTAAATGAGGTGATTCCAGACTCATTTCTGGACTGGAGGTTGTTGCAGTCACTATTGAGACTTAGATTTCCTTAGTCTTAAAATATTTTCCTTTTCATTTAAACAGTACTATGAAAAGCTTTTCTTCTCCCTTCTGGCTGTTCTAGATAATGCTCTATAGATACAGAAAATTTATTTCCTTTTTGAAATGGCCAGCTAAGTCTACAGCCACAAATAGCTGTTTATTTGCTTATACTAACTTGTTTTTTTCCTAACCAGACAGTTTTTGTGTCTGTTGGAATTCTAAGACAGCTGTTGATTTGGCCTGTGCCTCATCTTGAAATCAGCACTTACTAGGTCTTCTAATCCAGAGATTCCAGAACACACAAATAGGCAGATTATTTGTATGTATACAGGGATATCTCACTTTACCAATGTCTGAAAAACTCATTTCCAGAAAGGAAGGTACCATGTTTTGAAGGGAATGTGTGTGCGTGAGTTAAGTATTATATTTGCTTAGAAACTCCCTGTAATTCTGTCAGGAAGAATGCAGTTATCGAAAGAACTTTTGCACTGTGGACTGTTAGCCCAGGTGGGACCGGTCGCATGCATGGCATCACTGTATTGTCAAAGTTCCCAGCTGGTAAATTTGTGAATGGGTGATGTTCCACCTGAAATATTTTTAAGGTAATTGTTTCTAGCCCTCATACTACCAGTGATTTTATATCCCAATCAACCTGAGTGATGCAGAAGGACATATGTAACATAGCAAGCATGAAGCAGCATTCAGGAATACCTGCTGTTTTGGAGGCAACGTAGGCTGCAATAGTGGTATGTTTCTTGATCTGTGATGGGTTTGCTGCTTCCGAGCATACTGAGCCTTTTATTTTTCTATGCTGTTTTTACTCTTCCACATCTGAACGCTGTTTGTTACTTAACTTGGAAAGTAGAATGAAATAAATGCAAACACTTTCATGGTATTAGTTGTGTACAAATGCTGTTTTATGAACTTGCTCATCAACAAAGTACTTCTCTCCAAAGAACAAATAGAACTTGATTTCTTTTTTATACTCTTTTAGCCCAATGCTTCCCTCTTTGAAGCCTGCTGCAATGAAAGGATCCAACAATTTGATGATAATGAGGAGGAAGAAGATATCTGGGAAGAGAAGGAGATAACCTATGCAACCCAAGTTAAATCAAGAACAAGGTGAGGTGAAAACAGAAAGTCATTTTTCCTTCCGAATGCTGTGAAACTAAATTTCAGTTAATTGTTTGTTTAATTATTTGTTAATTGTGTTCTGTGAAGCCTGTTTCTTGCATAAAATAGTTTTACATGTCACACTTCTGCAAAAAAGGTGGTTGTCTTGAATGTGAGACAAGGATGCAGTTTGAGGGAATGCGATAGTGATGGAAGCACCAGATTGTTGAGTCTATTATCAAAGATTTAAAAAAAAAAAGTTTAGTTTGAAAAATTTGGAACTTATTCCTTTCTTCATGTTTGGAGAGGAGGAGATTGAGAAGACTGTAAGACTGAGGGCAGTAAATAGAAGAATCTTTTCTAAGAAGTCCAACCAAGAAAAAATGTGTTCTGCGTGACAATTAATGTATCTCCCATGGTGCATCTCTGGCATTGCAAATCATTTAGAATTTTTCAACCCTTTGATACAGTCAGTCAGTTATTTTAAAAAGTTATTTCTGTATTTGCCTAATTATTTGCCTAATATTATTAAACTGATTTTTTTTTTGCTAATACAGAGATTTTATATCACAGTAGTATTCACCTTGTTTGCCCCCTTGTTTTGTCTGCTCTTACCAGTCTCCAGGCGTGCGCATATGTCCCTGGAACTTATTTCCCATTACTCTCTGTAGATATCTTTTGACAAGCAGAGCTCTTAGGGGCTTAATACGTGCTGCTGTTTCTCTGAGTTTTGTAAGTTTTGGGGAAATAAGCCCTCTAAAAGGGATTCAGCATCGGCTGATCAGTTCACAACTTCTGCTTGCTCTGAATTTCTCTTAAGAAGATATGGATTAGATGTTTGTGTCCCTTGCAAGAGCAAGGAAGAAGCCGTGTCTGTCAATGAAAATGAATTGTGTAGAGTATAGCGCAAGCAACTGTAAGCGACCGTGATAAATGTAAATAAAACAAAAGGCAACTTACAGACTTTGGGTTTTTTGATTTTTAATAAGGATTTAAAAGTGATTGCCCATAGCCATTAATCTTTAACATTTAGATATTAAAATTTCTTACAGATTATTTGTTTTCCTGCTTATTTATTGACTGATAGGCACTACTCTTTCATCTCTCATGTCCATCCTTTGAATGTAGAAAACATAAGACCAGTTATGGGTTTTAGTCAGGTTCCATTTGATATATGTAAAGGGGAAAATTTTTGTTTACTGTATTTGCTTTAATTAAGTAAATTTCCTCCCATTTAACTTATTTCCTATCAAAAATCTATAAAATGGTACCGTATTAATTGAATCGGGCCTTAGGCATATCCCTTTTGGTATATAAGGTTGAAATAAATTGAGTCAGAAACAAGTATCTTGTTACAAGGATGAAAAATTGTGTTGATGGTTAAATCATAATTTTCTGTGATTCGACACTGAATTTAACTAAACTTGATGATTAAATACAAGTTAATTTTTTTCAGTCATCAGTTATTCTGAATTTTCTATGAAAATTATAATACAGGAAACTGCCTTTACAGCATGTTATACCTTCAGTGTGTTTATGTGCGTTGAATTAGTTGTTCTATCTACTTTCTGCCCTACTTTACACAAGGTTCTCTCAGATTATTTAATAAGTATACTGTATTCATGTTTTTCCTTAGTAACAAGTGGAATATATATGGTCATACCTAATTGCATCTACCTATAAACATTTGATTATTTGTGGGTGTTATATTCTCTTTCACTGTCATTTTTACTGTTTTTGTTCCGTATATTTCAGTATGGTAGTGGTATTGAGCTTTTTGTTAAAATTAAACTGTATGATCTGCAAAGAAAAATTGCTTTTTTAGATTCTTACAAAGTACTATAAACATGTAACACTATTACAAATACTAATTAGTTTATAAAAAATGGCTAAGAATTGTTGGTATAGTAACTAAATAATGACTGATGGGGAATTTCTGAAAATGGAATCCTTTAGAATTGTGCAGGGGAATATGAAGAAGAATTAGTGGGATGAAATTTGATGAACATCATTGGACTGTGGCTGCTAGGAAGAACTTTCTAACAGAAAGTTAGTTGGCTGTGCAGTAGCCTCAGCGGAAAATATGGAGGGCTGTCACTTTGATCCGTCTAAACTGTGACCAAAGCACTGAAAGATATGCTATAAGAAACGATCCTGAATTTTTCCTTTCTTTTCCCCTTTTGGGGCAGGGGGGAAGCAGGTGAGGGATGAACTAGCTGCTGTAAGAGCTCTCTCTAATTCTCAGTTCTGCGATTCAGGTTTGGAGCATCTCAGACCTCAGAGAGTTCATCAAAAAGTGATCTTGAGAATGGAGATCATGATGGTAGCGTGGACTCGGAAGAAGAGGAGGAAACAGAACAGCAATTGCCTCCTTCCTCAGCAAACACCAACAGAAACAATACTTCTGAGCAGAAAGAGACCGACTCCTCTGAAGGTAAAGAGTTTAACGCAGCATCATCCCATTTGAAACGAGGTCTGTAGTCATCTCTGCAGAATAACAATCTGCAAATTGCCTGGCTTCTGCGGCTATTCTGTAATGCCGCCTGTGCAGATGAGAAGCGTGAATTTCAGTCTTCAGTTTCTGTCTCTGAAATATTAGTGAGATTGAGCCCTGCCCAAGTTCTTCAGCACAGGAATGTGTTGCTTCAGTTATGCTAAGACAACCGCACAGGTACAAGTAAGAGTATTAGCTCTCTTAGTATAAAAACTAAAAAACAAAATATCAGTGAAGGATAACAACATTAACTTCTTACATGCCTTGCCAAGTATCTCCACACCGTGTATATCTTCATTGTTCTGCCTTATTGCCTGTCTAGTTTTAGTTTGCATGCTGTAAACCCATTCTTGTACTGCCTGGAGGAAGACCAGAGAGACAAGCTTTTCCCAAAGCAGTGATGCAAGTAATGCTATGTAAGTTCATGAGACATGCAGCACTGTCAGCAGAACAAATTCAGTCAACTGAAACAAAGGGATGACAAGGTTTTCCCCAAAGCTCTTTCTTTTCTGTGTGTGGTGTAATGCCCGCTTTTGATGCAAGCATTTTTAGTTAAAAATGTCTTTTTTTTATAGCTGGTGTTTCTGTGTGGTAACTATGAACATAAAGCATATTTATTTTTGTAATCAGCCCTCTACAGCCATTTAGTAGTGTCAGTATTTTCAGTCCTTACTAGGAAGAACCAGAGTATACAATCCAAACGACAACCTGTGGATACTGTACGTCAGTGTAATTACCCTTTAGAGACTTTGCTTCAAATTGTGGTTCAGTTTTTGAGTGAGTCTCGATTTGGTGGATCTCACCTACTCTGAGTTTTGTTGCATGCAAATCAGTTTACACAACAGACCTGTGCATTGCAAGTAATTTCTCTTCCTTGAGAAAAGGTCATGAAAAATACTGTTTAAAAATTTATGATCTGTGGGAATAGAAGTATGTTTTAATAAATAAAAAATAGGCTGGACCTTGAAAACCAAATTCTATTCTTAATTTTGCTCCAGATCACTGCTATGATCTTAAACATTTTAGTCCATGTATCAATTCCCTACCTGTAATTGCCAAGATTAAACAATTAGTGCCTGAAACAGTTGAAAACTGCACCTCTTAACTTTGGGCAAAAAAGAAAACAAAATTACTTAAACAGAAGTTCAGTTGAAAACCACTGGCTCAGCGAATAAGAAGATTCATAAGGACATTTTTCTTAATTGATGCTTGTCTTTTTTGGATAACAATATTTGTCAGAAGAGGGATTTCCAAGTTGATTGTCTGTAATCTGAGAGACAGGCAACTTCCTATAGATAACAAAGAGGTCCAGTCTTTCTTTTTTTGTCTTTTTTTCATCTCTGGGAACACTTTGAAAATTTTTGGGGGAAGCTGTAGGTTCTAAAAACTCATAGGAATTCCAGTCTGCTTTTTTGTGTCTTCAGGGTCTGGATGGACAGCTGTATTTGAGCCAGTGAACTCAAAGCCCCCAGCACCCTGTGTGGCCATGGATGTTGGATCAAGTGTGTGGGATTCAGCAGCCCCAGAGAACACCACGCCTGAGGAGAAAGGATGGGCAAAATTTACAGACTTCCAACCTTTTTGTTGGTAAAGGAGGCATAAATTCAATCAATTTCTTTATGACTTTTACTTGAAAGAACATTTGAATTATAGTTTGATGGAATTTGATGGAGATTGTAATCTTATCTTCTTCCCCTTCCCTTCCCCTTGCTGCCCCTGTTATTTTTTAATATTATCTGAATAGTCTGTATGAGGGCTTCATACTTCCCTTGGCCTTCCAATGCTTCTGTTAACTGACATTAGTATTCATGTCTTATGATACAGGAATATGTCATATATTGCCACTGCTGCTAGACTCTGACTCTAGAATAAGTAAATAAATAAATTCAAAAAAGTTAAAGATATGTGTGTAAAGAAATAGTGACAACCAAGGTATCTGCACTTCCTTCTCAAGCCTTTTTTCCCCCCTACTTTAGCTCTGAATCAGGTCCACGATGCAGTTCTCCTGTGGACACAGAAAGCAGTGATTCAGATGGAAACCTGAAGCAGAGTCAGGACAAGAACTGTAAGACAACAGATACGTTATTTAAGCTGTTTGAAGTATTGCATAGCGTACCACGTCTCCCGGGGAGAGCTTCCCTCCGGTGCTGACTGCCTTACCTTACTTAAAGGGTCTCTGTACACAGTTCAGTCCATTCAAATAATACTCAGAAATCTTGAAGGTTTGTTGGGATAGTCTTGTTCCACAACAAAAGTACTAAATTTAAGTTTGTAAGTGTTGATGTCGCAGAGACAATTCATTTGTAAATTATTTGAAAGTGCTATTTTTAGCCATATGCTTGATTATGAAATCTCTTACCAAAAATTAAAAAGATATGAGAAGTTATCCTACTGGTAATTGTGCCCAGCCGGCTGGTCAACTTCAGTCTGATATATTTCCCTCTTCTTTCCTATGCAAGGAAAAAAAAACTAACAAAGGACCTTGATGGAACTAAACTAAACTTTTGTCTGTAGTTACAGTTGGAAGGTGGATAATACCGAAATGGATAGCGTGCTACATTTCTCTGTTACATTCATTTTCTGGTATACTCTCCCAACTAAGTTCAAGATTCAGTTCAGTAAAGCTCAAAGAGCATGTGATGACTACTTTATTTGATGCACATTTTTAAAATCTACCCTTCAGTTAGGCACCATGTGTTAAATCTAGTTGCCTGAGCAGATATCAAATTTGGGAAGAAAAGGCTGCAACTCTTCTTTTCTGCTTTCCCGAAAGGAAAGCTCTTGACAGGCATGCATGTGGAATGAAAAACAACAAACAGTTTAAAAAGAATAGCTGCTTAAAGTTTACCATCGCAAGTTCTCAGAGAAGTTGTAGTGAACAGAGATCTCACGGACTACCTTAATCTTCCCTTCAGAGTAATCGCCTTTTGAGAGCTTTGCAGCAAGTGAAGAGAATAGTCTGCTCTGCTGTTTGCCTTGAACACAAGCGTGAGGTGGCAGGACTTTCCTCACGGAGAACACTGATTTGTTTTTTTTTTGTTGTTGTTGTTTGCTTATTTAAAATAAAATGCATGCTGTCTTAGTTGTGGGATCTGCATAAAAACCATCATCTCAAAATTTGCTGTAATTGTAAAAATCCCATTTTATACCACTGTACGTACTTGAGGTTGTACCTGAGGAGTTGTTCCCATGTTGTTGTTCATTTTGCAATGTGAATTCTTCACTTTTTTCAGTCAGTGCTGCTTCGCCCTGTGTTTGGAATGTCTGCGTTACCAGGAAAGCCCCACTGGTGGCTTCGGACAGTAGCTCGTCTGGAGGCTCAGACAGTGATGAAGAGGAGGATAAAGCTGATACTGTCACGGAAACCATCAGTACAGGCTCAGGCCAGGAAACCATCAAGCTGACTATGGATGCAAAAAATGAGAAGGCTGTTTTCACCAGGTGCGAAAGGAATCACCTTGGGGTGGGGTAGAGCTCTCTCCTGGTTTTTAGAGCGTGGTGTCACTAGGGATTTAATGTGTTTTCTGTTTTTTCCACTGTGGTTCAAAATGTCCTGTGCAAAGATGTCTTACAGCTTTCTTGTCACGGGGGTTACATTATAATAAAATATTTAGAATAGGTGTATTATAAGAAATGTGTGTGGCTCATTTCAGCCACTGACCTTTGTCACAGAAACCTCACACATCTGGCTGTCTAGCTGCAACTCCGGCTGGACTCATGGCAGGGACTCATGCAGGGTTAGATCCCATAGAAAATTCGTGCAAAGCCTCAAATGATGGGTGATACAAGGTCTGACATGGAATCAGAGTGCAGTCCTGCAGGAGGAGGGTTTAAATGACTCAAACTATCATTTTTCCCTCATTCTCAAAGTAGACTGTTATAAACAATAAACTATAAAAAGTGCAAAATGCCAGAATAAGATGGTAAATTCTGAGGTTTGTTAACTTTTGGCTATCAAGCAGTTTGGTTAGAATTGCATCTACTCCAATCTCTCATACTCTTATCCTTTGAGAGCTGCAGTTGCTTTTGAAAACAGTAAGCTTCTAGTTCATTTTTTGGCATGTCCGGAAATTGTACACAAAATTAGGGTGTTTGGATTTTTCCTCATATTCCTTACAAGTATTTGGGCTATGATTTTACTAGTTGGGAGTCCCTGTATTTTATACATTAGCTCAGGAACAGATATTTTTGTTTTATAATGCTGTGGTTATGTGGCTTTTTTTGGATAGTCAGCATGAGCTGCTTGACCTGCCTAAGTACTCCAGCAAATAGCTACTAGGAGTTAGAAAGCGGTGGCTCAAAAAACAAGTAGGATTACATAACTAAGTAAAATAGAAAAGGAGGAAGTAAACTGAAGGTAGGTTTGGTTAGGCAAGTCTGAATTGAGCTTTTAATAACTTTTTTGTTTTTGATGTCTACCCCAAATATCCTTTGGGTCCAAAATCCAGCGTTCAGCAGTTGTACTCTTTGAAATAACCTGTAAAATGTTGCTTCATATTTTTACTGGAGGGATCACCATTTGAGGATAAGATTGCAAAGTTAATTCTTTTGTCTATTTTTGCAGCAATCTTTACTGTTTTCTTTTTCTTCCTTTCTTTGCTTTCTTTCTACTTCTGCCTCTCTTGCTGCCTTTCTCTCTTGCTGTGGGTATTGCTCAGAATATTTAGACCTGCAGTCAGAGGGTATGTATAATGGTGACGACTTTTTCAGGGTTCCAAACATCCACCTGACAAGTAGCTTCTCCCCTTAGTGACTTAATTCTGGGTTGGAAACAGAGCTGTTGGACTGGGAAAGCTCACGTTTTCACAATCAATTAAAACAGATCCTAGAAATAATATTTAAAAAAATGACACTGAAGATTGTGTATAGTCCTTTGTGAAAAGAACTTGTACGGGCAACATATGTGTTCATGAACCATTAAAAAACAAACACGGTGTTTAGTAGAGTCGTGCGTCATGTGTCCTTGAGCTTCTGCCGTTCCACCTGTTTCTGAGCTCTTTCTGCAAGTAGGAATTTGTTTTGTTTTGAGAGGAAAATTCATGTTCTGTTCAAAATGACTATAGAAAAGCCTTGCGGTCTGCAGTTTGCCAATGCACCCAGTATTAGAATTGCTGTCTGTTTTTTAATTAGTGGGGTAGTGGTAAAGTAAGGCCACTTGAGACCGTCTCATAATAACACTACTCAACATTTTACTTTTATGGCGTTGGCTATAGTACAATGCTAGATTGTACTCATTATCCAAGTCAAAATACTTTTTTTTTTCCAGTTTGCTTTCTATTGTGGGTCTTTACTAGTTATTTTCTATAATTCATCCATTTAAGCAGTGTTTCCCAGTCACTGTGCAAACCAGCAAGAATATGCTGTAATTTCCATATCAGATCAGAGACAAAAAGAGACATGCACTGAAATAAGCATGTCTCATAACGGTTCCGCGTGAAGCCAAGTGAAGAGTATGTTCCAGAAAACATGTAAACTTTCCTATGTAAAAAGGACCGTTCCCTGACGACCAGAAGGTTACCGTTCTGACTGCTCTGGGCAGGAGTTTCGGGAAACGTAGCTCAGCGTGTGTCCCCACTCTCCAGAGACTGGAGATTTTCAAAGTTGTAAGCTGCGTGGTATTTTCACATATTTTTAATTACAACGTTTGCTCATTTGGCTTACTGTTTTTACTAACTGATAATGTCATTTAACAAACTTCTGGAAGTTTCCTGTCTCTTTCATAAGTAATTAAGTCTGTGTTGCATTTATCTGAAACGACTTGCCGTTTGGCTGTGCTTTGTTCCCCCAAAAATATAGTAAGGCTCGAGGTGTTGGTCAGCGATGAGTGAGGAGTGCTCAGGATACCAGTAGCGTGTGGAATAATGCAGGTTGCGTGTTAAGAGTTCTAAGCTGTGTTCAAAGCAAGCAACTCTGTAGCTATAAAGATCTTAAAAATGCCTGCAAGGCATTTGCTAAGGTAGTACGATTAATCCATGAACTAGGGAAGTGAAATGTTAGGGTTCCTTCAACAGTTTTAGCTTGGACATCTTTTGCAGTACTTATGTTTACTGATATGTGGGCAACAGCATAAACAGTAATAAGATTTGCATTTAATACAGAAAGCAGAATAATGAATACTAAGTATATGTAATGTGATAGGTACTTTTTGTGGGAAATGACTTGCCATTTCCATGTCTGTGCACCTAATTTCTAATTGTACAATATTAATCCAAGCTTTTGCATTTCTTCTTCCTTATTTTCAAAAGCTATCCGAAGTATTTCACTGCTGAGCTGTTCAACTAAAGCTTCTAAGCAGCTCCTTTAAAGATGAGCTGCACTAAGGAATAAAAGGAGTCACAGCTTTTGCTGTTTATGGGATGCTTATAACTTTTAATTTCTCTCTCATTTTATTAACTTTTCCTGAACTGCTGATGCATTTTTTCTTTTTAATCTTTTTTTTTTAATTGTTGAATATGTTTGCTGTCAACTTCACCCTATTGCCTCCTCTCCTGAGTAGCTTTGACCAGAGACTAAACATGAAGATGAATGTTTTAGTAAGCAACAGAAAAAAGAAAGTTTAGAATGGAGGCTGGAATTCCACCAGATCAACAGTGCTTGCTATCTGTTTAAAACAAATATATTTCTTTCGTGTCTATTGAATATCAATGCTTAATTTGTACCTGCTTGAGCTTTGGAAGCTAGCGTTGTAAGTGCTGCAGGGGTTTTCTTAGAGCTGAAGTCCAAATGAGACAAAATGAGTGATTTCTGTATTTTGGAAGTATTGTGTTTCTCTAAAATCACCTTAAGTCTCCTCTTTTGTTTCTGATCATACACAGTTCTCGGATGAAAATATTTAGCTTTCATTCTAAAAGCAATGAAAAACTTAAAAAACTGCTGAAATAGCTCTGAAATAACAGCTGGCAATGGTTCTTTCCATTGCCTTGGGCATGGACTCGGAGGTGAGAGCTGGCATTCTCTCCACTGCATGGGGGATCCAGAAAGGACTGTGGCAGGCATGGCTCTTGCACAGAGCAACCGAGCAATTGGTTTGCTTTTGCTGTTATTGAGCAAGGAATTTTAGCGCAACATCCACTTACATGCAGTAGAGAAAATAATCCTCCAGTTTCCCAAGCTGAATGGAGTTACGTTGTCACAGTGGATGTTTTGAGCTCTCCCATTTTGGGATACGTTTTTCTTTCCTGTGCCTGCTGACTGTTCGTCTTGCATGACATACGGAGTTGCTATTGTACAAGAACTTGAGCATGAAAAATCAGCACAAAAGATGGTTTCTTGCTGGTATCTTGTTTTGCTGACTAACTGGCAAGAGTTACTGAATGCTTTAAATAGATTATTAGGAAACAATAAGCATGCTGTGGAAAACTGGGCATGGAGCATGACTCCAGCATTTTTGTAAACATTGGCTATATATCCGTACTTCTATTGGGGAAGAAAAGTAAAAACAAAGTGACTAAACTGAGGTCCCATTTCGCTGTAAAACTCTCGTTTTTTCCAACCAGAGATGAACATGTAGTGCAATAATTGGCATAGATTGGATCTTTTATGCTGGCACATGTGTTGGTCTTTATAATGTAAGACTGCATGTCATTTTGGAAGTCAGACCTCCCACCTTGTATGACTTTGTCTAACTGTTAGCCAAGAACAAATATTGTAACAGTCTGTTAAGAAGTGTGTATTTAGCATGGCTGCCATTGCATCTCTTACTTTCTGTCTTTTGGTTGATTGTTGCAGAGTCTGGTTTTTAAGGACTTGCTTATGGGCTCAGCATGAGACTTGTGTTTAGGTATGCTTTTTATACAAGTCTTGCTTCTTTGTTTATAGTACCACTGTTTTTCCTAGCGTATGTTTACATTGTTTTGATGTCTGTGATACTTACTGTTCACCAAAGAGTCTAAGAGGATATCTAGTGTATCCCAGGAGCCACAATAGTGAGCTTCAGAGGTGGGTAGAATCTAAGGCTGTTGTATTCAGTATCAAATCCTTTTTTTCCTGAAATACTTAAAGCTCTTGGATCATTCATGGCTACCGCCTGAATTCCTTACAGATCTTTTAACAATGAGATGTAGATCAATATTGCACTTTGCATCATGAAAAGCTGCATGAGGTGCTAAAGCAGGTGGATCCCTGTCTCGTAGCACAATTCAGAGTCAGGCTGGCGTATTTGAAACACCTACCGAAATAGTTATAGTTTAATTCCTCTTGCTAGATCCAAGAGGCTCTCCATAAGCAGATCAATGGAAAGACAGGGTGAGCGAAGATGCATGTGTGTTGCAGTAGCAGTGTAGAAGTGGGTCTTGTAAAGAACTTTGCATAGTGAAGCTAGCTGGGCAAGAGAGGGGGGTTGCAAAAAAGTTGCAATATAAAGTATTTTCTCCATAAAGCTGGAGGAAATTGCTGGAAAGAACTGAAGTGTTACCAAATATTAAGCAAGCACCTAAAGTTTTCCTCTTTATAAATGGAGCAGTATATTACTTTATTTTAACCGTGTATCAGTGTTGGTATAGAATAGTTTTATGAGAAATGCAGTAATTACAAAGTATGAACTTCTTCATTTCATCCTGTTTTTCTAGGAAGAAACTGCTCTTCAAGGAAAATGATTATATTATTAGTCTGGGGAGGCTTTGTATTTGCGGGATTAGAGCAAAAAAAAACTTTAGAGCAAAAAAAAAAAAAAAAAGAACAACCATTTAATAGTACCTGAGATCTGGAATTAGGATTTATGACATTTCTTATATTGCGTGTATTATAGTACATGTGGTAATAGCTGAGAATTCCATGCAATCTTTGTGGCAGATTTTTCTCTTAAGAAAAAAGTTTACATAGGTGAAACTCATTAGTTGAGAGAGCTGCAAGCTTTTAGGAGCGTGTGAAAAGCAAATGTCTGAGAAGAATTCATATGAGGGCAGATGAGGAAGTCATACCTCCTGTGCAGGATCATCCTTATCATTCGTCTAAGAGGAAAAGTATCCGAAGGCAGCTAGAAGCCAGAGTTCATCACCTCAAATCTCTCTTCTAAAGTAATCTGTGTGCATTTGGGAAAGGGCCCTTGAAGCCTTCTTGAAACCAGATATAATATTGTTATGGCTTTCCTTGACTACCTTATCTTCTGATCGTTGCTGTAACAACCTGTTCACGTTTCCCAGTGGTGAAGCACTGTATGTGTGCGCATACATTTTGCACAGACACTAGCAACTCTGAGCAGTAGTGTTTCTGTAGCCTTCCTTGTGTGATGTATTGAATACATCCTTTAACATAAAATAACAGCTTTTGAAGAAGTTGTGTAATAAATACTTCCGTTGATTAAGATCATTATTGTAATTTATCACGTAATTGTTCTAAGTGAAATTGGAGTGCTTGGCAGTACGCATAACCTGGAGGAGACATGATTGTGCCTGCCTCAGGGAGCTTACTGCCTAAAAAAGACAAATCATAGATAATGTTACAGATATGAAATATCAGATAACCAGGAAGAGTAAGCAAGATGCTTACTTATTTCCCCTTTACTCTCTTTACTATCCCCTGCCATGCTTCAGAACAATTTGTGAGTTGTACCGTTGGTAGCATTCCTTAGTTCATCCACCTTCAAGTGAGTAAGGCAGAAACTTGCCAGATGTCATGTTCGAACGACGGCTCCAGCAGGAGGTATTTCTTGCCAGTGTCCGCAGTAGCGTATAGATATTTACCCTTCACTGAGATTCCCAGCTGATTAATTGCCTGCTGTGTTCACTTTGCAAGAGACCAAGCAGTAGCCCTTTGCTGCCACAAAGTTTATTCTGTCCCTAGAACCCAAGATTATCTTGAAGTTCTCACTCATTCAGAGAGCCTTGTTGCATAAAGTTTAAAAGGACGCTACCCTCTTCAGGATGTTTTGAGTTCAGCTGTGTCATGCCTGCAGTGAGGGAAACTTGACCAACTCTGCTAACCAGATGCTCACAAAAGCTCCAGGTGAGGGGGAACACCACCAGCCCCTGTGCCGTAGCAGTCCGGAAGAAAACAGTAGTTGGAAGGAGACTTCTTTCAATTTATTTTATGCAGAGTGTGTTCTGAGCTTCTAGGGATGAAGATGACTGGACCTGATAATGCTGGTCATATCTTCTAGTCTTATTTTCTGATAAGTTTGAAGAGTTGGTACATTCAGCCTGTGTGCTGAGGGTGCTTCGATATCTCAGGATGCCTTGCAATGTTTGGAGAAAGAGAGCACTCTCTCTTATACGTGACCTCCAGAGAGTAGTGTTTACAAAGTTGGTCATTAAGTTGCACAGTTTGGCTACAATATCGTACTTAATGATCTTAGAGGAAAAGCACCCTAACTTTCATGTAGTGAAAAACCCAGTGGGCATGGCAGTAGGTGGTGTTCACGAGTTGTTTTTACTGAGCGCTTACTCACTGTGAAAAAAGACAGTTCTGGACAGACTTCGCCCTACTGGTAAAAGATTTTACAAGTGGCTCTGGATTAGAGCAGCACCTAATTCTTTCCAGGTCTGTTTGCAGGGCTTACAACAGGAAACTGAGAAGAGGCTACAGTAGATGTAGACTGGGTTGCTAATATCATTTCTTCCTTAATGTGTCTTAACCAACCTCATGAGAGAACAGTTATGTTCCTTCACAGGTTGCATACAGACTGTCCCTGTCCCTGTTCTCCACTCTGTCAGGATTTGGAGCGGCCCGTAACCAGGTTGAGTGTTTGTCTCTGGCGATGTGGAAGTGGACCATTTGATTGCTTGCACTGGCAACAGGGATATACCACACTGGAGCTTAAAGGACACGCCTAGCTGCTAAGAGAAAGCTCACCAGGAGCATATGTTAGTGCAAAATAGTTATCGGTATTAGGGTTTATTCTAGAATTATTCTCAATTATTCTTGAATTAGATATTGTTATTGACTCTCCAATCTGGATCGTAGTATTCTGTGTTCCACACAACCTGCCTGTTTTATTTTTTAACTTGTTAGTTTGGCTTGTAAGTATTCTTCTGCAGAGATTTAGGTGTCCAGCTTTGCTTTTCCATGAGCCTGTTGAAGACAGATACATTTCTGTGCCGCCTTAGTGACTGCGTTCCCTTAGGACTTCATAACATTGGAATCCTTGTATCATGGAAATCGTAGTGATTGAATTTAAGTTTATCTTTGACCCGTTTAAACCTCACGAGCTCGGGTTTCTTGTGTGGGAGGTCATTTTCTGATGATCTTTATGGCTACGTAATTAACAGAGTTAGTTTTTGATTCTCTGTCGTCTCATCCATCCCCAGGAGTTTCTCTAAAGTATATTCTTGTACTTATAGTATTTCTTTTTAAGAGCATGTTAGATCTTTATAAAGATAATTGTTTTGATGTCATTATTCATCACTTTTTTTACATAGTTTTTCAGGAGCACATAGAAAAGTAGCTACAGAAATAGAAACTAGATCTCAAACTCTGTGTCACGTGTTTGAAGTATCAGACTGTGGTGATATGTGTATTTTATAAACTCCACTTTTAGTTGCTGACAGAATTTCTGCTCAGTCGTCTAGTGAGCTCTCCTTCCATTTGTGTAAACATGCTCTCTGCCAGATAGATAAGAAATCATTCTTGAAACTGGACTGGGTTAAAATTGTTAGGAAAATCATTCATGTGCTTGTTCTCTCTCTACTTTCTTAGGCATGTCATTATTCCCAGAAAAAAGTATGACCATATACTGTCTGTCTATATCCTTTAGGTCATAACCTACTAGAATTATACAGTATGAAAATCATACCACGGGCTGTCCTATTTGAAGCAAGACTCAACTCTAGCAGTAAGCATCTAAACCCTAGAGCGAATACAGACATACACGTGTGTGTAGAGAAATTGGTATAAGATTTAAAAAACAGATAAATATACAATGCAGTCAGACCCTGTTAGTGCATTCTTCAGATGCTATCAGTTCGTCATCTTATAAAGTGGGACTCATCTTTGTGTTGCAGAACTAATCCTTCCAGGACATCCATGGTGTAATTACATCGATCCTAAACATGTTCATCTTTAGGCTCTCTATTTCAAATGTCATCTTTGCATTTAGCATTATTGTATTTTACTGTATATAGAGGCAAAAAAATAAAGATGTTCACAGTAGTCACACAGGGGCTTTTTAATATGCATGTAGAAGATCTGGAGGTTTTCTACTGGCAGTTTTTTCTTTTTTCAGGATTTCAGCATTTGTTTCGTTTTAGGGATACGTCATTGGAAGTGTAATCCCGCAAGCGTGCGGCTCTGCCATGTTGTATGTTCCTGAAAGCGAGTTACTTTAGCTATATTTGGCTTCAGAAGATACCGTTCGTGAACATCCAGTTAACTTCTTTCTTCCTCAGGGTTTAAGGTTCTGAACTCAAATTTAAGTCTCTTCTGAATGGGCACAGAAGTATCAGTTACCACTTGGGAAAAACCTTTAGCTTATAGCAGCATAGGTGCCTATGCTAGATCAGAAATGTGCTTTTCCAGAATGAACAGTGTAAAGAATTGTGGGCTTGGGAATTTTCTAGGCTTTGCTGGGTGAGGGAGGACGATTCCAGGAATGGTGAACTGTAATGGTATTGATAGTCTCCAGTTGCTGTTACAGGTAAGTAGTGTGTTTCTAGTTTATTCCTTCTAGTAGCAAACTTGATTGTCTAGACCCTCTAAACTTGCAAAGGCTTAACTGAAGATACTTCATGTTGCATCCTTTCTACTGTTAATCCAGCAGGCTCATAGTTTGTTTTCTGTGTTCACTCATAGGACAATGCACCAGGAGAGTTAGTTGCAGAGAGTATTTGAAAGGTCTTGTTTTCAGGCAATGATGATACAGTGAGAATTCATAGGCCTGATTTTGCCTCAGGAAATGAAAATGCCTTTCTTCAGGAATTGTTGTTCTTGTGCATTTTTGGTGTCTTGTTGATTTTTAGAAAATGTAGCCTCCAGGATGCATATAATGCTTTTAAATTCCAGTTTATTTTCAGTTCTTATTTCTTTATGGGAATGTTGTGACCTGTGTTAGGTGAGGAGGAAGAATGTCTTTTTCTCCATTGGAATTTAAATCCCATTAGTTATCATTTAACTTGAACTTGAATTCTCCCTACACAGTGATGCAGACTGTATGGTTATTGATAAGCTGACCATCACTGACATCGGAATGACGAAAGCATCCAAACCACTGAACAACACGGCCCAGCGCTCCGAGGAACGCCAGAACACCGCAGCTGTTGTCACAGCTGGTGCAGAAATGGCAACAAAAGACAGGTGAGCTGCTCAAAAATTTCTTACCACTCTGTGTCGGAGAATTAGACTTTTAGCATGTCACTGACGGGAGTTATTCTAACACTAATGTATGGTCAACTGCTATATGATTGATGCATCTTGAGCGTCTTAGAGTGTATTAGACTGAAGGGAGTGTAGGACGATTGCGTTACAACAGTATGTTAAACGCATTTTTGAGTTTCTCAGAGGTTCTATAAAATTACCTGTTTTATCATTAAAATAATGGACTTCTGATTTCTTTTTGTTGCAGAACAAATATTCAAATAGCATAGGTTTCGTTATTCAGATGAACTTATAGACATTAACAATGAGAAAAATATGAGGAAATTTGGAGAATGGGTTTTGAAACGGAAACTGGAAGCATCTTGAGGAGAGAAATGACACTAACGATTTTTATAAATGTGACTGCTAGGGACATTTTAAATATGCAGACCAATCATTCTGCGTATCTGGTGCTGTCATCTCCACAGTCTTGTGGCCTCTTGCCTCACTGAATCCTCTTGAAACAAGCCCTCTGTTAGACTGAATCTTGAATGATGGTGCTTAGCTGAAGCTAGACATCTGGACCATCCTAGAGGAATTTCTTCCATTAGATACTTCTAGTGAGAGGAAAAAATTCTAACTAGCGCTTAGAACTTCATGACAACCTGATCCACTAAACTCTACTTCAGTAAAATATGGTCCGGGTCTCAGCTATATTACTTCGTATGCCTCCTCTGTACAGCTTTTGTGTGGCATTTGAGTCCACACCTTACAACTGGCATCCCATAAATTCTAGGGCTGGTTTTAACACATATCTGGAAGCAAGCTGATTATCCCTTTGGGTGATTGTTCTTTGCCGCCACACCCCAGGTGCCGTCAGGGCCCCGAGTACACCAGCAGGCAAGGGGTAGTGAACTGGGAGCTGAGGGTTACAGCAAGGCAGGTAGAAGCAATCACCCCACGAACAAGGGGCGCAGTCCCATAGTACCCCGTCCAGTGATCGTCAGACACATACGTCCCAGACACATCGTTGTCCTGGGACAACAAGGCAGGTCTCGGGGAAAGTCCAAGGCCAGGCACAGCATACATAAGACGTAGTTCAGGCAAAGTCCAGGGCCAAGGGCCTGAACTGAAATGCAGCTCCCAGGCTAATGGTTGGAGAAGGCCTCGATGAGCCTGGTCAGGTCACTTAGAGCCTGTTTGTGTACTCAGAACCCTGATGCTTATATTTCAAACTTTCTTATTCAATGGGTTAATTAATGTTGTGTAATCAGTGGTTAAAGTTGACTTCTCAATTTCCATTTTGGTCTCTAAATGTAATATTTTGTAAAGGATTCAGAGGAAGTAGAAGAAACAAAAATAGAGGAAGGATGACTGAGATACTAAAGGAAAGTTTCCAGCGTTAATGCCAGGATGAAAGTAAGCTTTAGGAGTGAGCATGGTCCAGTAGTTTTATTTCTCTAATATTACTCTTTTGGTTCGTCTATAGGAAAGAAGAAGTCTTGCCCTGTGCTGAAGCCACATTAAATGGCCCTGCTTGATGAAACAAAAGCAATGGGACGTGTGTGATCCAGGCCAGGCTGCTACCTGGTGATGCAATTTGTCAATTTTTTTTTCATTTTAATTTTATTTTTTAATAAATGCTGCATTGATGAGAGAGCTGGCATTCAGGACCAGACATGCAGTTTCAACACCAACAATCTGTTCTGAAAGACACTTGCATTGTCTAAATGTAGCATTGATCGGTTAGTCATCACAGGAATGATGGGGTTCTTCCCAAGCAAGCCTTCTGCCTAATTTTAGTTCTTTGTTCCCTTCCCTCTCTCCCTCGTTTTTGTTTTGTATTTGGGGTTCAGTCCTATTTTCTTAGTGTTATTGCACACAGTATTCAGCTTCTCTTCAGAAAGGTAGCAGGTCTAACGCTGGGACTTGGACAGTGCACAAAAAGTCCCGCAGTCGTGTGACCAAAGTTCCTGATGGAGCTGTCTTTGGGCAGCATTTGCACCGCTTTTGTATAGCAATAAAGCCTTATCAGAAACATTTCATAGGAGGAAAAGATGCAAACACTTTAAATGGGATGAAGCAGGGAGGGATTTTATTTTATGTTTCTGTGGGGTGGGAGGGAAGTCATTGACGTTGTCCCAAGCAAGAGGCCAGATAGTTAATTTACTGTAATGCTGAACTGCCTTAAGAAATGGGAAGTCTCTGCATTCCAGTGAATTGCTCAGTGCTCTCTCCTCTGGAGACGTGAGAATTCACTGCAGGATCTTGGGTCGTTTAGCAATTGGTCTCTTCTGTCCGAGCCATCAAAATTCAACTTCCCAGATGTTCATCCTCTGTTGGCTGGAGCGTATGCAAAGAAGGTAGCATGTTGTTTGCCAGCTAAGAGGATAACGATCCACTGGACTGCTGCCATGCAGGAACAAGAGCAGATGTGGCACAACCAGGTTATCAGGTGTTTGCTGGCTTTTCGGAGACTAATGTATTTTCAGATTATTATGGAAATCCATTTCTGTTTGTTTTTTGTTCTGTTTTTAACGTTTTTAATGGATGCAGGAACAGCAACACTTTTGCACTTTGTACCTAGTGACAACATTGGAGAATGAAATGGCCCCAGCACAGGACTCCTGCTGTTACTCCCCAGGTAGTTGATCATGGAGAGATTTTGGGTAGGGACATACTGCTCCCATGGGATAGTAGAAAACGGTATGGAGAAATGGACTACGCTTCAAGCTGCCTGGGAGCAAGGTCAGTTAAAAGTGTGTACTTGACCCTGGAACGCAGGATCTTCTGCATAGGCTGAAGGACCTACTTCTATAAGGACTGTACCAGTTTCAGACGCAGGTCTGCACTGATCTGTGCTGGCCTCTGCAATGAGCTTGTTCCCAGACTGGACTTGTGCACATAGGTCATATACGGGTGTAGATGTTGGGCCACTTACAGAACCAGGCTCAGGCTGGTAACAGCAGATCGCCATGAACAGTGCTCATTCTATACCCCTGTAGTCTAGATGCGGAGCTGGGCCTGCTTTTGTGTGTAAGCTGTATGCTGAAATCCACCTGTCAAATGTTAAATGCCGCTTATTTTATTAGTCCAAGATCTAAGCTGGAAAATCATTCACTTTGGAATAAAAGCATGAAGCTTGACACATAGGTAGCCAAATAGCTTATTTTCAGATATATTCTCACTCATGCCTAATGAGGGACTTTACCCTGTGAGTATGAAAAAGTACCTCACACAGATCTGTTGTTATGAGCAAAGGCATCCTAGCCAGACTTCAGTCATTTTAAAAAGTACTTTATTTTTAACTGTGATATGTATGTAGTGCATATGAAATTTTCTTAACTGTATTGAGAGGGAGTGTGTTGCGGGGGAGTGAGATGAACAAAATGTTTTCACTTGTTAGAGTCAGTCTGTTCTGCTGGATCAGTATCCGACGGTGTCGTACCCACAGCACGAGGCTATCGTTATATGCCCAAAGACAAAATATTTTCATTTTTGATCTTGAGGAAAACAGAGGAATTCCTTTTTTGGAATGTCAGATATGGAGATTACAGTGCAGAGAGGAGGATGAGATCGCTGTGTGCATCTTGGAAGCGTGTGTGCTAGGATTGTGGGCCACTTGTATGCTGCTGACATAGCTGTGATTTCTCTCAGCTGCAATTATTTGGTAAGCTGGTGCTTTCATGGCATAGCACTGTTGTTCTGGAAGTCTTCTCGCTCCCTTCTTGTAATTTAAAATAAATAATTTAAAGTTACATTGTGCTGGAAGGAAAATCTCACTCTCTGCTTTGGTTACTCTGCCCGCCCTTTAGAGGTCAGTCCCACTCTTCGCCAGGATGTTCAGAAATGATTAGTAGTTTTGAGTTCCTAATTGGAGACGCATTTAAGTCTTAACTTTCAGATAATTGGTGCTAGACATTTTCTTGAAAATCAGGTTCTTTTCAGGGTGCTCTGTAAACACCCACGAACGATACTATGAAAGCTGAAAAATTGTTCATAAAATACAACATCAGTGCACCCGATTCCAGCAGTTGATTGAAGACCATGATTGGGCTTCAGTCCCATTAAATGCCACATGATGACAATAGTTCTTTTCCAGTCTGTTCTCATTCCTAGTTCTTGCCTGTAGTGCTTGCAAGTTCCATCGTGCTGCAATTATGACTAAGTATAGTCTACTTAAGAGTGAAGGATTAAGGGAAAACGTCCTTAATGGGCAGAATTTGATCTTTCCCTTGTCTTGATACATTTTCAGCCCCCTTGGTAAACAGATAAATGATCTTTGCACTAGATTACATCATAGAGATCCTTTTTCAGATATACTTGGAATGGCTTAAGAGGCATCTGTGTTAGCTTAAATCACCTTGAGCTGTGCTTCAAGTCATGCTGGCTGATGTTGCAAGAATGCTGATAAGTTATATTCATGATGTCTTGGTTTTTGGGGCAGTTACCTCCACCCGAGAAGTGGTACGGAACAGCTGGCAGCAATAACATCGTAAAACAGAGATGTGCAAGGACATGTCTATCTATGCCTATTATTGCAAGCTCTAAACTTTGTGTTCATTAGCTTTTGGCTTTGAGTCTAGAAATTTAAGTGAAAGCTTTAATAATATATTGAACACGTGTCCAGTAAGCAGATCTAAAAGCATAGTGTAGTAGCATACTGAGGGGCTCATTATCTGAAGTTCATGGATTTAATTGCTTGTGTCCAGTTACTTCTATGATAAGACTTCTTATCAGCAGTTGAATAGATTCACAGATATGCACAAGCTTTCTTGCTTTTGTGACAGTGAATGATTCCTCCACATCTGGGATTGGCACTCCAAATTATAGCTCACGGCCCCATTGCGTTGCTCTTCACACCAGCCAACAAACTGACTTAGAAAGTTTCTCATCTCTGATAACTTGGAGTTTGCAGTTCAGAGCAGACATAGAGTCAGAAGATGGTTTCCTTGCCTAGCTCAAATGATTTTATGGGCAAACTGTTCATAAAATTCTTGTTTGTAAATTTGAACTTCCCTTCTATCTGCGGTCGGAATGGATATGGATAGATTTGAGGGTTCCACTGTCTCTGGTCTGTGGCCTGCAATTCGCTTTCGGCCCTCGTTGCTGTCTCAACTTTCTTCTTGGCCGTTTTAGGCTACCGCCAAGAGCTCTGTATGGCAGCTGGGCTTCTGACTGCTATTCTGCTTTCAGCTGACGTTAAGATAAATAGTTGTTTTAAACATTGAATGAGTTGACTGAGCAGTTCAGTGAACCCTTTCTGTAAGTCGTGTCATGCCATGTGCAGTCTCAGAATTGTGTCTCCTCGGGTCTGTTCTTCAACAGTGGCACATCAGGACACACTTTGACTGCTGGAGGGTTTTTTTTTTTTTTTTTTTTTTTTCCACCAGAAATGTGCTGTCGTCTCACTGAATAAGCCTTGTGATCTAGGGAAGGACTATTGCTCGAGGTTAGAGCAGACATATTATCTACCAAAGATGGATTTACTTAAACCAGCGGTATCCTTTAAAAAAATCATAGGCTTGTTAAGATAGTTGATCAGAAACCAATGAAGAGTAGACAGAAGTTATAGTCGGCCCTGTCTTTCCTTGTTTATATGCAGTATTTTGAATCTATCTGTATCTATATGGTATACATAATTTTAGTTTTGACTATGTACACTGATGAGTGTGTGTATATAGATATATATTTGCAATATGTACTATTCTGTATATATTTATACACACACAGTTGGATATGTAAGAAACCTGGTGAAGCGGAGACTCAGAGCACAATAAGCATGATTTTTATATGTGTACAGGTACACGAACAGTAGCAAGTTATGGACAGACATTTGTTGTACAAGACCAAAACTAGCAAAAAATAACTTACAGGGGAAATGTTTCTTCTAGGACATCCTAGTTCAGTGATTTTACCCAGCTGGGCTTTGACACAGCTGGATTACAAGGGGTTGGTGGCTTGTGCAGTTATCCACATTGCTGCTTTCCCAGCATTGCTGCTGCTGTAGAGCACTGCCCGTGTGCTCCCCTGCTGGGAGAAGAGGAGGAATTTTCTGCACACTTGGCAGATGAAAAGCGATCAGATCAGCTGACACTAAATGATACTTAAATTGTAACACATTTCTCTCTAGCTGGTCGGATTGTGGAAAAAATAAGTTATTTTCAGTGATATAAAACAGCCCTTTGGGAATCCTGTCATGATCAAGTCAGTTGACTGTTTTCAGCCATCTGAACTGCCGTGTTCAGTACCAGGGTATTAAACTTGCCAAAAACAAAACAAAACAAAACAAAACCACACAGTTACAGGGATGTGCAATCGGAAAAACCCTATGCTGCAGAAAGATCAAACATAACTTGTTTGGAGACATGGAGGCAGGATCTTATGGCAAGATAAAAAGTCAAATGGCTTGGATTAATGTGTTTTTTTACCAGATCGGACCTACCGTTTGTATTCTTTTACATTGCTTGCTACAGGATCTTAATGCTAGGTGCAGGGAGGAGGTCATAGTGCTAAGAGCAGCCTGGTGACTACATACCCTTTTTGAATAGAGGGGAGATTGGGGGTTGCGTTCGTAGGATTGAAATCCCGTTGCTGTCACAAAGAGGTGTGGTCCTCTCTAAAATTGTATCCACGCAGGAACATGTGAACCAGCTCAAAATTAAGTTTAAGTGAGATAGTCCTTGAAGGAAAGTGATCAAGTGAAAGTAGGTAATTGTAGGTTATTCAACAGTTTCACCAGTCTTTTAACAGAATTTCCTAAGAGAGTTATAACAGTTCAGACCGATAAAATCCCAATTATTCATCTGGATAATGTGTCTTCAACAAACCCAGCAAAGAATAAATTTTTTTAGTGTCTAAAGATTTTGCCACCCCTGTTGCTTTTTACAGAGCTTCAGCTGGCAAGCAGAATGAAAGACCGGTGGGTGCACAAATTGAAAAAAAGAAAAAAAAAGCATCCCCCTAAATACCTCGTTAAAAAGACTCAGGCGTCCCAGTTTGCCGGTGGAAAGGTTTTGGGACGCCTGAGTCTTTTTGACTAGGTATTGAGGGGAACGCTTTTTTTTTTTTTTTTTTTGAGTTTGTGCAGCTGCATTGTGCAGGTGCGTGGAAGTTAAGGGGCATTCCTAAATACATACCTAAAGGAAAACGATTTAACTGGCTTCATTGTCATCTACTGGGATCACAAAATCCTTTTTAAAATAAATAGCCAGTGAACTGTAATTTAAATTATTATTTATCAGTGGCATAGCTTAGACATAGCAGGATACCTTGCTGCCTGTCACAAAAGGTTTACGCCGTGGTGTACCCTTAGTGTTTCATTCTCAGCTTAATCCTTCCAGCCAGAAGCGCCTTGATTTCTCTCCTGTCCAGTTAGCACTTGTGCCTGAAATACAGTGTAGGGATCTACAGTCCTCTGCTAGGGCTTTTTAGTTTTTTTTTGCTCTTTGATTGCACATTTTTTCTGACATTCTTAATAACTCTCTTCAGTAATATTTTACTCAGTATTTGGTAATAACGTTTCTTAGGCTTCACCTTCCATAGCACTAAGCACTGTCTTATTGCAATGATAATCACAATAAAACTGAAAGAGCCTCATTTTCTTGAGATATCCAGTTTATCTAGTAGGGAAAACAGCTATACTGGAGAGGACCCCCCCCACACCCCCTTATTTCTGCAAATGCTGTCGAAGACCAAAGTGGTTTGCCAGTAGTCACGGAAAATAGGCAACAGCTTCTTGCAAGTACTCTGGTACTGACCCTGCAATTTGATGTCCCTGGAGGCTTTACAAGGGAGAAGAGTCTTGCATCCTGACTGCCAGATTAAAAGCAATTGTTCTTGATAAACAAGATAATTTCTTTTTTTACAGTGTAATGTTTGACTTTTTCGATACCATATAGCAGCTCATCTTGCAATTTATAGTCGTTTAAAGAATAGGTTTTCTTTTTTTCTTGCCCTTCTCAAAGCAGTGATCTCACTCTGAAACGTGTTTAAAAATTATAAACAGCTGATTTAGCTGTTGCAGCAGGTTTTGCTATGATTAGAAAAAATAGACAAAATGAAACCTGGTGTTTACAATGGCATGTTAATTTTCTTTGTTGTTCTTTTTTTACCCCACCATCGGTTCTCGGTGAAATCCTATTCTATCACTTACTGCTTTGTTGTTTTGAAAGCACCTGTATCTCCAGTTACAAGGTCTCACAAGGCAAGCATAAGTCAATTTTTTTTTTGCCAGTCCCAGCTTTAAAATAAAACATTTTACATGGTCCTCTATGAAGTGACATTCAATTTCTTAACCTCATCCCTGTCCCTTAATGTTACGGGACAGCACTCAATAGGGGAGACATTGAAAGGGCTGCTGTGCAGTATTATGCAGGTTTGTGAGTTAGAAGCATAGCTGTGGGCTTGCAGTGCAGTGAGGTTTTTCTGCAGTTTGGATGTCACAGGCCATTAAAAACCCCCAACAGTTGAAAGGTATTCGCTTGTATGGAGAAAACCTTACAGCTTTCTGTTCAGACTGCATGTGGCCTTTAGTTCTTAAAAAAAAAAATGCGTGTCGCATAGGAAAGAACAGAGGAAAATGGAGGGGTGTACTCAGGGGTGTGAGCATCTTTCAGAAGTCATATCATTCAAAGGCTTACTATTCATTGGCTTAAACTGGGTCATGCTGCATTCAATGCCTACACAAAGTTCACAGCAGCCTCATAACTGTAAGTTAATGATGCTGCACGCTTCAGAGTGTTTCCAGAAAAGCTGTTAATATTTATTGCAGAATACATCTCACCTTGTTGTTAGTTTCTGGCTTCTTATTGAATATTGCGTTACTCCTTTTTTTTCTAGTCTTGTCCTAACTTGCATGATTTCCTTAAGCAGTGTATATAAGGATTTATTTAAACCTTGTTGCTCAAACCACCATCTAATCCGGAGTATGGTTGTGCAATATGGTTGAAGCTAGGTTTGGAAGGATTTAGTTTCATTTTCAAGAGCAATGTAGGCAGTGAAGAGCTGAAGGCTCTCAGAAGACTTATTAAACTAAGGACTTTGGAGGCTATCAAGCGTATTGATGTTGAGTGCAGCACTCTATATCTTTAAAAAATGTGAGGCTCAGACAATTATTTGTAAATATTCTCTATTTGATTCAATAACCAACTAGTCAGGTTGCAACAGGATTTTTTTTCTCTGTTGAGATTAATTTTGAGTTTGCGGCCCCTTGCAAGTGTGATCTGTACCTTTTCTTTTTCAGATCAGACTCCTTCAGAGCCCATGCATTCAGAAACTGGAGCTAGAATAGAATACAATTGCCTTTAGTTGAGCAGGATACCTTGCTGCTAGCACATGACAGAAGAAGGGAAAGCGCTGTGTTTTGTAACTGGTTAGTATAACCTTTATGAGGTGGGCTAAGACTGACTGGTGTGTTTTTTTCCCTTTTCTTAATAAATGTGTCACTCGGCACAGTTTTTATTTTATAGATTGCAAATACTTACACTGTTAATTTCTCCTTCAAAGCAAGAAATGCTTTTTGAAGGGAAAAGAATTATGAGCTCTACAACAAGCCAAATGCACTTGAAGCTCATTGAATTTTAGGAGACATACAGTATTAAATACGATTTCTTGCAGAATAAGGTTGCACCAGTACGTTCATCGAGTCACAACTGGGATGTACCAGATGGCCATTGTGAGCTCTAAAGCACATTAATTCCACTATTGCTCAATTTTAAAATAATTTGGGATGAAGTTTGGAATAATAATTTTACCTTTGCGCGACAACTTGCAAAAAGGAAATCCCTCTGGTCAGGGGAACCATGCATTGTTAGTTTAATTACGTACAGTGCCTTAGCTTGTTTACAGAATTATGCATCATTGTTTTTATAGCACTTAGGTAGCGGTAATGAACACTTCAGAAGTACGTCATATACTGGACCATTTTTAATATTCAGTTCAGTGAAAATTTAAGATTCTTTGGAAAATGGGTTTGACGCAATTCTTGCTGATTTCATAATGGCTGATGTTTCCGTCTTTATAGGGATACTATTTTCATTCAGAGTGAGAATGATTTTCATCGAGCAGTGGTTTCCCTCAGTAGTAGCTGCTGAGAAAATGCTAGTTGATACGAAGTTTTGGTAAACCGACGCAGGCATTTTCTCTGTACGTTACAATTACGTGTAAGCTTTCTGACAAATTTGCAGAAAATAAACAATTTGGCTCTATATGCTAGCTTACATCATCTAAAACTCACTTACCTCATTTCTAGAAGGGCATTGTGGTGACCAGTCTGACCTCCCTATTCATTTTTGTACAAAAATTAACTCTATTTCGTAGTAACTGTTACCTGTCACCTTTCACAACTTAAGTATAAAAATGTTAGTGAAGTATGCCTATATGTAAAATGTATTTTTATATTTGATGATGACCAGGAGAGAAGATTATTTTTCTCTCTGTGAAATTGTGGGGCTTTTATAAAAGACAGATTCTTCCCCATCTGTTTTTTATTTTATCAAATTGTTTGGACAGATATAAACTATTAAAAATCTTTTAGCATATAATTTTG